GCACTGCCAGATCAGTGGCCCTATCAGTGATGAGGATGAGGACCCAACAAAGTGCAAGGTCCTGTGAGGGACACAACTCAGGAGGGTGACATGCTGCCTGATAGAAGTGGGGGGAGGCACACAGTTGGCACCACCCACAGCTGTGTGTCACTGTGAGGTCCGTGGACACCCCCACAGAGGCTGACCGGCTGGGGACGGGAGAAGGGTCATTGGGGAGTAGGGTGTGGGGCACCCACCCATATATTTGGGTGCCAGGCTGGAGTCCCCGGCACGAAGGGCACGGATGAGGCCACCAGGGTGTAAACGTGGCTGCCCACGGGGGAGCTTGGCTTCATCTGGAACAGCACCCACATGCAGGGCGGGCTCGGCGGCGTCGTGGCTTCGGGAACACAGCGACAGTATCGCCCCCTCATGGGTGCCTCTCCCTCAGAGCCTGCACCAGCAGAAGGCTGGGGATTGTGGTGGGCATGCACAGTCTTGCTCCCCTGGGTCGGTGGGCTTGGCAGGGTTCTGGGTTCCCCAGCGTAGTTGGAGGTTTCCACAGAGAATGCACGCGTGCAGGCCCCTCCCCGCAACATTACAAAGGGGCTCATTCCGGGCACAGTGGGCTCTGAGGTTGAGGAAACAACCCACTAAGTGGGTCATAGATGGACTCTGTAGGCTCCGTCTCTCGTCGCTTGGATGGTGTCTATTTCCATGAGAATGGCTCAGGGCACCGGCTGCTACTGTGTCTCCCCTGTCCTCGCTCTCCTCCTCCTTCCCGGGTCTCAGCTTGGAATGTCGTCTCATGTCCCCTGGAACCTGGGCATGTCCGCCTCCGGCCGCAGACCCGCATTCTGGCTCTCTCTCTCTCAAAGTCTTACCAGTGCAGGGGGTTTGGTGGGCATGTTCCCTTCTCTCCCACTGCTGCCCCTCTGTCCTGTACCCCCAAATATCAGTCTGATCATCATCCTGGTGGGGTGAACCCCCTTCCCCAGGCCTTCTCAGGACTCCACCTCTTCCTCCTCCTCACGTCAGACTGCCTGCATCGACACCCGGGGACGGGCCATGACCGCGAACGGTCCGCCTGCTCTTTCACGCTCACCGAGAGCGCACTGCAGCCGTGCTGTGCCCAGCGCTTCCCTCTGCGGGACACGCGGACAGAGCATTTGGTCTGCGAGAGCCGAGTGCAGTCCCGTGTCTTGTGGACCAGCAGAGGGGGGCGGTAGGTCTGCGTCAGCCTGGGGTGAGCGCCGCGAGGGGCGGGCCCCACCTGTGGCTGCTGGAGCCGGCCCCTGTCTCAGGGCTGTTCGGCACCTTCCCCTGACCGTCCACGCCCCCATCCGTGTCCACAGGCCCCCACGCAGCCCGATGCTGCAGAGAAGTCTCCATCTCTTGGCCCCTGTGCCTCCGTGGATGGTTCTTTGTGAGCCCTTAGCTCCTTCAGAATTGGAACAAAACGTTCTCCTGCTTTGGGAAGTTCCCCTTGGAACCATGCCCTGTACCCCACCCACCCTGCTCGTGTTCCTTCTTCCCCACCCTCCCTGTGGCCCCGGGGAACAGCCTGCCTGTGAATCCCCGAGCTGCACGGCCACGCTGTGCCACGCTCCGCTGGGAAGCTGCTCCCCTCCCTTTCCTTGAGTAATTCCTGCTCGTGTTGCACCACTGACCTCAGTGTCACCTTCCGGAGACAGACTGCTACAGAGAGAGCCTCTGCGTCCCTGCAATGCAGTGGGTGGGATGTTGGGATGGCCACTGTCTTAGTCTGCCGGGGTGCCCAGCCCCATATGAACCTGGGCCTCTCCCAGCTGTCACTTTTAGGGTCTCGCACAGAAGAGGCTGAGTGTGGCTTGTCTCTCTTCCAGAGCAGGGGCTGCTGTTGCTCCTCTCCGTAGCCCCAGGGTCCAGCACAGGGTTTTGTAGAAACTGAGTGCTCGAAGTCGAGGGAATGAATAGAGGAGGATGTCTAGGGTCTCCACCATCACTAGGAGAACTGCAGCCATTGGCTGAAAGCAGTGGGGCAGATGGGTTTATCTTTCTGATAATAGGGGAGTGGTCTGAATAGTAGCTTTGAGATTGTTCTTTCACTGCCTGCTTCTTAAATACGTGGGTGTCTGTGAGCAGGTGAGTGTGCATGTGTTGGACGGAGGTTCCTTGCCCTCCCAGTACCCTTGTGTTGCCACAGGCAACACACTGACAGCAGACTCCCGAGGGGTAGGTGTAGCCCTGGGTCAGCTGCTGGGGACGCCTGGGCGTCTGCTGCTGTTCTTGTCCAGTGGCTGTGGAGGAAAGGCCTGAACTGCAGCCGGGGCCCCCAGGTGACACAGACCGGGAGTGGATGATGGGTTTTTATCTTTCTTCTGAATAATTAAGAGCACCTTCCGTTTGTGGGGATTTGCTTTGAAGGGCTCACAATGTATTTAGTGGTTGAGTAGGCTGTATGCGCATGAGTTTAAAAGGTGAGACATACACCCACAGCCTCGAAGATCAAGTTTACACCTTAAGTAGCTGTGTTCCGAGCATGGCAGCTGTGTCATAGCACCATTTACTGAAGACCTGCCTTCCGGGCCCATTTGCACATGCGTACCACCTCACCCCTTCAGCAAGCCCTCAGTCTGGGGTGCAGGTGAGCAGACCGGGGTTTGCTGTGCTTCTGGAGGTCAGACATCCTCCCAGGACGGAGTCACTCAGACCAGGGCAGCTCAGAAAGCATAGAGGTGACGTGTGTCCTCCCTCTCTGAGCCGCAATGTTTTGCTTTTCTGTGAGTGGAATTAAAGCTGTGGGACTTGCCGTCTTACTGGGTGGTGGTGGGTGACAGTGCGTGTGCCGGGGCTGACAGGACGACGAGTTTCCGGTTTGCCCTGTGTGGTCCTAGGCACCTCCTTCCTCCCCTGCAGCGCGGTCACTGGCAGCGGGAGGTTTCTGTCTCAGAAGAAAAGGGGGAGTACAGGGGCTGGAGCAGGCCGACTCCAGAAGCCCCCAGTGTGGTTCCTGCAGCCTCCAGAGAGTAAGGGAGGCATCCTCCCCTTGCTGAGCCCAAATTAAAAGGGGGGCAGGAACCAGAAGTTACTCAAAGGGGCGAATAATCCCAAATGCCATGATGTGCAGAATTTACAGGTGAAATTGTGCTGCTAGGCATGTCCCACGGTGGTGGTTTTTTACATATCACTGATAAGGAAGAAAAGGAGGTAAATACACAGGGCTAGAAATGGTCATGTATTTTTGAAAAACAAAACAAACAACATAGGAGCTTGTGTTCAAGCTTGAGGGGTTTGTAGTGGAATGCCAGCCTGGACCATTCCTTGACCCCTGCGTGTGTGCTTGCTTACGGAAACGCAGGGCGTGTGCGTAAAGCCTGTCACAGCTTCAGTGGGGTACGACCTACTCCAGAAGGGGCTTCAGCGGGGGAACCCTCGGTGCCCGAGCAGCCATCCTGCATTTCAGTTCTGGACAGGAAGTAGCTGTGTGGTGGGCCGGGTGCGTGCGAACAAAACGGGATTCTACTAGGGCTGTTATTTTTCCTTCAAGAACGACTTCCTCTGTGTGGCAATAGGAAGCTTTCAGGAAGTGATTGTTTCTGGCACTGCTGGTGTTTGAGCGCCAGAATGAGCCTGCATTCAGTAATTTAGAGCAATTTTGTTTTCCAAGCTAATTAATGGAATGATTCTTGATGTCTGACAATGCGGTGCAGCACAGACACAGTGTGAGGCAGGTTTCCCCTTTGACTGAAGAGCGTTGGGCCCACCGCATTCCAACCTGGAGCCACCGCCGTGGCCACCGGAGGACGGAGTGAGCGGACTCAGGGTCGATGGGCTTCTCTGGGTCAGACAGTTCCCTAGGCAGGAGATAACCTAGACCCACACTCACCAAAGTCTAGTGTTCGTGGGAATAAGCTGAAGACCTTTTTAAAATATAAGAGCCAGTAGGGATGGGACGAGACCTCAGATCCTGCATGTGTAACCCTCTCACGTAAAACCCATGAACCCCATTTTCAGGTGAAGATGAGGCAGAAGGTGCTAGACACTACACCCTGCGAGAAACCTAAAAAAATAAATTTTGGAAACTTCAAGGAGAAACTAAGTAGTGGGGGGTGGTCCACGTACCTAGATACGAAAACACGTGAACCTGATTCAGGGATTTCATGATGGTCAATCAGTGGAGACCAATCAACAGAGGATACCAATGACAGTTTCCTCCCGAAGATATGACTCCTGAGGATGAATAGATGTCCCAGGGGTTACTTTACCTGGCCAGGCTGTGTGAAAACGACTCCAGTAATTAGATTTGCCTGTTCAATTTCTTTGATACCAGTGCAAATGCTCTGCTTTCAGCACACACGGCCCAAGCCACGTGCGGTTATACTTTGGGATGGAGAGACACAAAAGTGCTGTCTTTTGTTCTTATTAACGTGCCCTGTGGGACTTCTTAAAGAGGGTTGATATTTATTACGATGGTTTAAGAATACTGTCCCAAATAAACAATGAGAAAGTAAATGTAGGTGCCCTCCCTAATACATCAGATTTTGAAAAGGGGGATGTGAAACAAGGCACCATGGATGTAACAAACAAGAGACAGGATGTGGGCTGTGACCCGGAATCTGTCACTCACCTGCACGGTAGGCTTGGCTGGAGCGTCTCCATGTCATCGTCCCAGGGTGCTGGGAGGCATCACACAAAACAGAGTAGTGAGGGTGCCCTGCGTGATGGGTCCAGGTGGTGGCGTGACCACACCCCTTTCCGGAGAAGACCAGCTTTGGGCCAAAGGCTAAAGAAGTCCCAAGGGAGTACAGGCGCTCATTCCACTAAAAGGGTCCCGATTTGACATGTGTGGGTGACTCGGAGTGTCGGTGACCTTGAGCACTTCTCCATGCCATGCACTTTGATCTCCCCCATTGGGACCGATGGGGACTTGCCAGTATAAGCCCTGTAACCACGGTCGCATCATAGCACATACCGCCCTCCGAGGAGCTGGTGCGGTCGATGTCCTTGTCTCACCATCGTGTCCTTGCTCTTCCTTGCAGATGGTGACAGCAGAAGCCAGTCGATCCAGATCCCACTGTTAGAGGAGGAGGCAGAATTCACAACCAGGTCTTCTGACTCTCAACCCAACACTTAGTAGAGAAGAACATCTGTTATCTGCTTTAAAATGTTATGGAGACAGCTGAAATAATGTATGCTTAATACTTTGGAGGAAAATGTGAAGCAAATTAAAGATTGCACTTCAAGAGATGAGAAGGGCAAAAGTGTCATTTTGGGGGGTCTGCATTTTGGGGTCTGTGCTTGGATGATGCCTACAGTGTAAAGTAATGATTATGATGGACTCGGGCACGGGCCTTCCATGGAAGCAGGATTCCTGTTCTGTGTAATTACAGCCAGTTCTTTCGGCACCCACCGTCGTCTGTTCTCACCATGGCCCGGTACGGTCAGTGCTATTCATTCGTAGTTTTAATGTGGACAAGTTTTGATACAGAAAAGTTAAATGACTTGTCTAAAGATCGCAGAGCTAAAAGTTGGCCAAACTTCACAACTGAGCTCAGCCTGACTGCAGAGCCCAAGTTCTGATTGCCTTCTTGTTAATTAGAAATCTTTAATAAAAATTTACCGTGACGATCCATCCTTGCTGTACTGGTACCACTCGAAGAGAAGGAGCCTGGGCCCATACCGGGTGCAGCGCAGGACTTCAAGGGGTCCAGTGATGGTGGCAAAGGCATAGGTCTCAGAAACCCCAACGTGAGGGGGGCCTCAGAGATACCAGCTTCTTCTAGATAGTTCCTGTGTGCTGCTAACACTTACCTGCCACGGCTTTCCTTAACCGGGGGGGCAGACACCTGCCCTCACACTCTTACTAGATCATATCTGATGGAATGCTCCTTATTTAGCTTTTTACTACATGACCAGGCCCAGAGCCAGACACACGGTGGGAGCTGCTGGACGCGTGAATCACTCTGACTCCTAATACCGCTCATAGGCACACTGGCTGTTCGCCAGCCTTTCTCTCGTTTTACTCTCCTACAACGCACTATTGAGATGTTACATGTGTAGACGCATGATTCACAAGTATTACATTATCTCATGAAAGGTTACAGTCACCTGTTACAGGAACACTGTCCCTTGAGCTAGGTGGCTAAAGAAGAGCCTGTATTTGGGCCAAAATGATATTTCCTCCAGAGCATTCTGACCTATCAGGAGCCTCGTGGGAACCTTTAGAAGAGGCCAAGCCAGGTGAATGTATATGTGAACCCCATGCTGAGGATGCATGTGTGGGGACTCAGATGTCAAGGTCAAGAACACCTGAAGTTGTACAACTCAGCAACAGACCGCCTTGGAGATGGACAGCCACCCATGGATCTGAAAGCGGGCCTATAGGCTTTCTGGATTGACAATGACTGTGCTGACGTTCCAGTGCTGGGGGTTGCTGATAAGGCTTTGGTCCTAACTCAACTAACCTCTGCGATCTACACTAAGGGACTGTTGTACTGGAGACCGTCTAACCATACCAAGGGCCAAGTTCACGTGGCTCCTCAGTGTTCATAACTCACATACTCCCAAGAGGGGGAGGCAATCAAAAGAGGGGGTGCCCAGGAATGTGGAGGGACTCAGACAGCTGCACATTGGCAAGAACTGGGAGGCACCATGATGGTTAGCTCATGGGGAAGGAAGGGCTGATTATTTGATGATAATCAGAATGTTCAGTCTGATACAAGATTTAATGGACGGGATTGCAGGGAGCGGGAGTTCACCTAGACTGAAAGTGCCCCGAGGACTAGGGGCCACCTCTGCGCCATAATCTCCATGCGTGGCATTGTGTCACCCACACCAGCCACTGTTGACAGCTGCTTGTTGACATGAACTGAACAGAGCGACTGGCCGTACTAGACGAGGGTCCTTATAGGAGTCAGAGTTGGCTAAAAAGTTGAAGGGCTTCCTGGGTCGGTGATAAGTCCTGTCACTACATATTTATTTCCAGAGTCAGGGATGGTCACCTGTCAGGTGATCTGTCCATGTGAGAGGTGCCCAGGTGGGTCCTTTTCTGAGATGCCACAGGGCTATAACTGCTGGTAACTAATGGACACATCATCGCATAGATCATTAAGTATACGTATCAGTCCTCGGAGCTGGAGGGGGGCAACACGGGAGAGGCCCCAGGTTCCTGGGTACACACGCACCCTTGTACCTGGTTGGTTCTAAAGCTGCCGGAGACCTAACGCCTTTCCTCTGGAGCCTGCGCGGCTGCCCTGCGAAGGCCACAGTGGGGAGTAGTTTGCTGAGTCTGGTGGGACAGAGAGTAACTTCTGCTCCTACCAACTAGACACATTAGTTATCATCTCTCTGTTATCAGGTTTTCCCCATCCTTACATCAAGAGTTTGACAGATACCTACTTACAATGCACGCATGTATCCATCCGTCCATCTCGCTCCTCCTCGTTCCTGGAACCCGCACTGTAGTTGGCTTTGGCGGGGGGCTGCCGTGAACTTGCTCATGCCCGTGGCCAAGTCAGGTGCCCTCTGTAAAAGGAGGGATCCGATGAGTCCCCTCCCAGAGTGCCTCCCTTGTCCAGTGCATCGCTAACACAGGGCACACCCCAGGCACAGCACAGGATACATAAAGCTAAAAAGACCTGCTTCCTGGTTTGAGGGAACTTTGGATCTGCATTTGCAGGGCTACACAAATGAGAACTCACAGCAAAACCACACGACGCGGCAGAATGTGGCAGTGTGAAAGAAAAGAGGTGGCGGGAAGTTCTGCTAAGGGCTAGGACGGGGGGAAATCCAGGCAAGAATCCCTGGAAAAGCGGGGTAGGAAACTGGGTTTCTGTTTTTCTGTAAGAACCAAGCTGAAGGAAACGAGCAAGGCCGGAGGGCTTCCCAGAAGCGGTGGAGAAGGAACGTTGTGTGTAAAGCCATAAGCACCCAAGAAGGTGGACAGCAAACCTGGCGTTTTGTTGTCTATGGGGGAGTCGTGAGGCCCGACACTGGACATCTTTAAACGCCAGGCTAAGGGTGTAGGGCCTTCCGATGAATGAACGTAACGGGCAGCCGTGAAGGCTGAACAGGGCAGTGCCTTACAGATAGCTTTTGGGGACAAATGGCCTGGCAGCCTGGCAGACGGATGGCATCGGACAGAGTTAGCAGGCAGAGAAACTGGACAGAAATGTCTTATTCCAGGTTGGCTATTTTTCCACCGAAAAGAAAAAAAAAATCATCAGCTTCCAACGAACTGCCTTTTATGATGACACAAAAGCAATAAAAGCGGTGATGTATATAAAAGCAGTGCAGGATGTGTTTAGTGGCTTCATGAAACACAAACAGCAGCAGATAGTTAAAATTGGAATGTCCCGCGTCAGGTTATAACCATCTGAGTTTGGGAACTTATGGCGGCAATGCAATCATATTTTTATAGCTCGAGCTTGGTCTTTTCACTCAGATAACAGAACTATGAGTGGGTAAGAAGGGGAAAACCAGCAAATCAATGCCATTAAATAGCAAAGGAGGAGAGTCTTTGAATTTCAATGGCCACAGCAGTTACCAGCTTGATAAAAGAATCATTATTGCCCCAAATCTGAAGGATTTGCTCTATGAATAAAGGTAAGATTAATACTCGGGAGGTCAGGCTCCCTGACAAAATAAGATGATGGGGAAGAAGCCGTCGTCCCAGATGTCGGCTTTGAGATGGGCCCGGAGGAATGAGTCAAGGTGGGCGCGGGTGAACCGCCAGGTGCATCTGGGCAGCACTGCTGTGAGAACCGTGTGAACGGTTACGCAGGGCTGCTCAGCGAGCATCTGTAGACTCCCAGGCATCGGGCTGTGGCCCGCCTGCCTTCCAGGATGCTGGTGTGAGGTCCAGACAGACCTGCTTCAATTCAGCTCTACCGCCCATGAGCTTGACCTCTCTATGAGACCTCCACTGAGGTCTGTGAGTCAGTAAGTGGGGATATCAGCCCCCACAGCACCGGCATTCTACTACGCGAGATGCCATAAATAAGGTGCCTGCACGGTGGCTGCCCGGAGTAGGGGTGCACTAAGTATTGGCTCTCAGGTCGGGTCCTGGCCTGGGCTTCCAAGCAAGACCCCTGAGGGTTCCGAGTGAGAGCTGCTGGGTGAGCCTGAATCCACCTAGCCAAGGGACCAGAACAAGGGACCAGCTGTCTGCCCCCCAAACCTGTCTCTGCCACGTGTGATTTGGAATTTGTGCTCAGCCCTCCTTCAGAGTACCTAGACCTAGTTCAAGTTAATCTCAGAAACACACCCTAAGTCAGTTCTGCAGAGTTCCCTTCCTTGCACTGTTTTAGAGGCTCACGGTTTCTATCACGGAAGAGTGCGCTTACAGTTTCTGAAGGACGCGTTTCCACGAAACGACGTCGGCGGCCTCTGGCAAGGCTGTGCTGCCCCCGCCCCTCTCAGCTGCTCGTGGGATGTGAGCCCTCGAAGGAGAGTGACCGGATAACATGCATGATGCCCAGTTCAGTTCTCATTTAAGATAAATCAGAAGTGTTTTTAAGTACAAGTAATATTTAGAATGCACTTACACTAAAAAAAAAATTGTCTGAAATGCAAATTTAACTGGGTATGATAACCCTGTGCCTGTGGCCCAGGGAGCCCAGGGGGCAGATCTGGGGATTCGGATCCTCATTCAGCCGCTTATTGATTATATAACCCTTCACTTAACTTCTCTGAAGTCAAGAGTCCTCCTACTAGCCAGGACAATTACAGGTGAAGACACTCAGAGTCACCGAAGAGAGAAAGTGAAATAACACGGGCCAATATGACTGGTATACCTCCCAGAGCATAACACAAGTGCCGCATCTGACGAAGTCATTTCTGTGCAGTTTGCTTAAAGCACCTCACAGATGGTGCAACTCGCTGAAACTGCGCAGACGCACCACTGCTATTTTATTCCCAGGGCCATCCAACGGGTAGGCGGTGCTTTGGAGATCGTAACTCTAGTGTTCAAACTCCCACCCCGACGCGTCCTCTGCTGTCCCACCCTCTTTTGAAGCCTCTCTTACGTGAGCCAAGAGTGGTCTTCAGTCAACTGAAGGAAGATGCAAAATAAAATGCATTCCCGTTTGCAATGTGGCCCAAACTGCCGTGGCTTCCTTTAGAGCAGGGTCCTGGGAAGCAGGGATCCTCAGGAAAGCATTTGTATCTCTGTGATTGTTTGCAAAGAGGGCAGGTGGATTTCAGGTAGAAGAATGAGGGGCGTGGTGGTGCTGGAGCCGGAATCGGTCTCACGGAGCACGTATGATCTACGCCGTCATTCACCGGGAACGGTGAAGATGCTCACG